TCATCTGACTTTTACTTGAAATTTCTTTAATTTTTCTATGATTTTGATTGTAGAGCGACCTCATCTACAGAACCGTTGAAAAACAGTTTGCTTTGAACAACCATTTATCTGAAATAATCTGGGGACTAATTCAGGTATTAATAAATACGGCTTCTATGTAAATTAATCTAAAATACTGAGTATCAACTCCACTAATCGAACGAATGGAACCAAAACCTAACTCTGGTGGCGTTTAAATAAGGAAACAAAGAAATAGATTACCCGTGTCTAACCAGGCACACTTATAACATTAATTACAATCTACTGGTACCTAATTTCTACAATGAAATGGGCCTTCGAATTACAAAAAGAATATTCACGTCTCACGACAAGCCTACCAATTAATAGACTGGGGCTCAACGCCTCATGCTTCCCAATATATAGCATTGTTAATTATACATTGTGGTTTGTGACGACATAACGTAAAATAAGATAGTTATTTCCTAGACAACTGTCTGAATATCAGAGAATCGTAGTTAATTTTTAAGAAATGAGATTAACATTACTGTCAGAGTCGAATGCTTGTTAAAATCCGAATACTGATAATACCGGAATGGATGTCAACTTTTCAAATTACTTATCAGTAGTAAATCTGGTTATTATAAAATGTTTACTTTGAAAATAGTTTACAACACAGATTACCTGCAAATAAATAACCATTGAAAAACAGAGAGGAGTAAATATAATTTCTCTCCTGGTATTGAACTTCTCAGTAATATGAATCCATAACCATGAAAATTCACGGTATGCGATTAAGAACTACCGAGTTAATGTCCTATGGTTCACACCAACTTGCCAATTTGAATCCATCAGTCACGTCCATTAGAAAAACCAGTCTCACATTCGATATGGTTAAACTCCATCAGTCTCACCTCGAACCGATCAATCTCCGAGAACATTCCAAAGTTATTTTTACAGATTTGCAAGTTAATTGTCTGGGTGCATGAATAGCAAAATGTTTCGGAACAGGAATTCCGAGCATCGTATTTTATTATAGTACAATACACCAGATATATAGATCCAGTTTATTTGCACAAATGACAATGCACACAATAGCCACTCAGTGTATCTATTTCAGTCTTATAGTTGATCGTTTCCGATCCTAATCGTTCGGATTCACTGAGTTGTCATATCGCTGAAGCAAAGTTATCTCATTCGATTGATGTCAGTGATCAACTATGAAGCTCAGGCAGAACAGTTTTCTTTCAAGTACCATAAATTAATACACTGCGCTAGCATACACAAATTAACACATCCATTTCTAACCATATATATGGTTTTGTTCACTGAAGAGTGCTTTCAGAAAATATGCTTAGTTTACTTTAATATTCAAACAATATCCAAGATTCTTTGAAACAGCAAAGGTACCGAGAACATATACTGTGCTAGTTGAATTTATTCAACTCAGCTTATTTTGTTAATAACCCTATGTTGATAAAACCTGTCAGCTGAACTACAGAAAGGTTGCTTTCTAAACAATAACGAAAAAACCTATTACTGTGTTCTTACAATTTTCACATGGTTATGATATAAATTAAGAAAATCCATTCACATTTTGTTGTATCAGATTGTTTATGTGACAAGATTGATGGTGACTCGTGATGTGTTAAATGAAAAGTATGTTATTACATGATGATAAATACTTTGTATGTTAGGTAAAGTGTGCATAACATAACCAATCCCTTAAAATTGAAAACCGGAAATTCAAGAAGTATCTCAGAATTTTTTCTTTAAAAAATCATACGCATTTGTACAGCAGCCAGAAAGAAATCATTCGAAAACACATTTGTCGAATCAATCTCTCTTTACTTAACTTCAGTTTTAACATTGATCTTCAGTCGTTAAACTAGTCCTAAATATGCAACCTTTTAGGATATTCAGGTGCTGTACAGTTTCTATACCGTTTTAGGTGCGAGTACACTTTGTTTTAAAAAAATACACAAAGACTTGAATAGAGTTGATAATTTCCATAGAATTAACAACATACATGCCAGCTTTTTCAAATGACTTTCCACAACCACATTTATTAGAAACATAGAATAAGTTCACCACTATATTTATGGTTCGCAATATGAAACAATATATGAAGATGTAAATTAAGTCTGTATGTGATGGGCTGGACGAATTCAAATATATCATGTGCTTGTGCTCATATATAATCTAAACTTACTAACGCCTGTTTCCCCATGTGGAGAAACATAGGTCACTCAACAGCATTCTCTAACCAACTCTGTCCAGGGCGATTCTTTCCAGTTGCCATCCATCCATTTGATGACTGTTTCCGATTCCCGACGCAGTGTGTTATTCGGCCCTCCTCTTCAACTGTAGGAATATTGCCTTCACCTAGCCAATCTTCCATTTACGTCTACATCAGATCCTTCACGTTCTTCGATGATACTAACAATATACATGGAAGTTTACACCTCATTCCGGAGTTGTTTGGATTGATGTTTTCCGGGTTCGATTTCAGGATATTGGTTCTTCCCTTGTGTATGTTAAAGTCTACTTCTGAAAGGCTACTCTTACACTGGTTGTCTTCACATGTATTTCTTGGTGTGTATGGAATAGATGAGATAGGTCATCTGCAAAGTCAACGTAGTCTATTTGCATCCGGGCTGTCTATTGTATTCCATGATTCGCCTCAGATGTTGAGGTCTTCATAATCCAAACTACCAACAGAAGAAAAAAAGGGGAGAATGGGCAGTTCTGTCTCACTCCGATCCTCACTCAAAATTCATCTGTGACCTGTTCACAATACACCACTTTAAAGCGTTGTACCTCTCCAGTTGTTCTCCATGGTAGTTTCTCCTTTTTCCAGTAGATCTTGTAAGCCTTGCATCCTATTGCTGAGAGCGATCTTCAATTCATCGAGTTTGTCAGTGTCTCGAAGGAAAGTTATATCAACCGTTTATAGTGCTGTTTCGCCAGTTGTTCAGTGTTTCTTCAGATCCAGTTTGATGTTGGCCACAACCGGTTGGTGATGATCTGAAGCTATGTCAACTCCTCTCCTGGTTCTCACGTCTTTCATGAATCTTCTGAATTTTTAGTGATACAAATATGATCGATCTGGTTCTGTTTAGTATGACCCGTTGAGACCTATGTAGCTTTGCGTATGTATTTGTTGGGAATATAATGTTACTCGTGATCATCCTTTCTCCCAGTCAGTCCTTGTCGTCCCATGATATCTTCATACCCGATATTGTTGTCTATTCCGATTTGGGCGTTTACATCACTCATCAGAATGGTGAGATAATTTCTTGGGCACTTCTCTGTGATTGATTGCATCTCTTGATAGAAATGTTCTTTGTTATCTCTTTTGCTATAATTGGTGGGAGCAGAACATTGGGGTTGCTGAACCCCATGCACAAAGCTCCCCCCTCACCTTGGCTTGAGATGGGCAGTAGTCATTGAAGAGCTACAGGCGAAAGTCCAAACGACAAGTGAGAGAAGATATAATAAATTAAATATCTGCATAATGTGTGTGTATAACCGCTCATATCATGAAATTAAGTCTCACAATTATTAGACGAATTCGGGAATGACGACACCACGGATACAGAGGTCGATAGTGAAATATTATTTGAATCAGATGGAATATCAAATAAACTAGATATATTGGATGAAATGAAACATATTCCATAACTAGATAGATCTGGTCACTCGGTAATTTCATTACATTGCCAACTTTCATCTTAAGTTTCCTAGGCCACAGGGGGGATTAAATAATGCTAAAGGTCGATGAGTCAACTAGCGTTTGCTTTCCACCAAACAAGTGAATTGAACTGGTTGACATTGAATGTACCAACATAAAACTTTTGGTAAAAGCCACCCATGACGCATAGAATTGTTATTTTCTAACTGCAAAATGGTTTCAGATCCTCTGATGGTAATGTCATTGAATATTTCGTTTGATGATGTGGAATTGCAATTATTTAATCTCGTCACCAAAATTGTGTTGTGCTCTGACTCAATTACGATTTACACTTACTACTGTATCCAAAACTCAGTATACAAATGAAAAGACTGAAGGAAGGTATAACTCCCAGACTCGAATAGTGTACACAAATTTAAAAAATATATATATATATATATATATATATATATATATATATGCATGTCCTTCGACCCAGATAAACATATAGGGCGACACCAAAAGAAGACTAATGAGTTCAAACAGAATTCACTTGTCGATAATATGTAGGAATTATTTATATGCATTGGACAGCCAAACAGTAGCTATGTCCGAAAAATATATAACGTGAAAGAAGCCAAGAATATGTCAAAAAAATATGAGAGCAAGTATCGGGGGTTCATTTGTAACGCGTTTTCAAAAACAGCGTCCAGTGATAAAACGATAGCCTATTTGTCGAAGGTTAAATATCGACCCAAGTTAAGAGAATAGGATCAAGGTATATTTTAGTTTCATAAGAAATATACAAATATTTTACCGATAAATTTACTTAAGTAACTAGTTAGCATCAAGAGATGAGTTTTATTTGTTAAACGTCACTCTTGATTCGGATGGTTTCTCATTTCTTCATAAACACAGGGCAATAGGTGAAGCTAATGAAATGAGGAATAATCTATTAAAGGTGGTAAACATTGCACATTGTTAGACACAGTGGTTTTAATGGCTAAACGTTTGTCACAAGATCTTAAGGTGATGACTACGATCCTTGGTGGATTCATGGGAGAGCACTTTTGAGGTTTTTAATGCCACTTAATGAAGATTGCAAACTACAAAGTTACTGTAAAAAAATTCACCAGATACAACTAATTAATTTAAATCCGCCAGTGGATACATCAAAAAGCAGTTCTTAGAAGATGAACACAATAAGAAACTATGTGACGTTTGTAGAAAGCAGGAATACAAAAAAAACACCGTAAAAAGTATACGAATCTTATTGAAATACACGATTGATACTTTGAAATATTCAAAGGATCAAGCGTCTGTAGTGGGAACAGAATTTCGTAAAACTTTTGATTAATCAATGTTTAGGATCATTCTAAATTGTCAAATTAAAAACGGGAAGTGTGGGAAGAAACACAATGAAAAACGACTAGGATGTTAACAAATTTGAACATTAAATTTTCTTTACAATACATTTCAAATGTACATGAAAAAACAATATAAAAAATGCAAAGGTGTTTGCGAACAAACTGTACTCAAAATTCATCAGTAAAACGATTAAGTGTACTGGCTTTAAATTTATCATCCACTGCATAAATATCCATTACTCGAAGTTGGATTTGTTCAACTATTTCACGGGACAAACTATCTGAAATGGCCTTTGAAAAAAATGGATTAGGTTTTAAAATTATTAACCAATACTTTATAGCGTATAGATAAATTTATCTATTAACAAAACATTTTGATGATCAAGTTTTTAGAATCAAACGAGTACAGTTAGTCAGTGAGTCAGCAACAACGTAGAATTTCGTACGTACGTAAATCAGTTCCAGTTGCCATACCACATTATCACAGAGATTCAGTTATCGATTCAAATTCCGTAGTGGTAGAGGTAGTGAAAGTATAAGTAGTGATAGGGAACATTAGGGTTTGATGATGTTATTCAAGAAGTATAATCCAGTGGAATAGATTCGGAAAGAAAATAAAGGACATGAAGAATTCAGAAGTTTAGAATTTGGGAGAACACAGAGTGCATGTACCTGCACCATGGTAAACGATTTTGAGCCATGTCACTCAAAGTCTCTAACCGTCGGATGCTATCGTCTCGTGAATCCCAACCAGCTAGTCTACACCTACCAACATGACTCAATCCACCTGTCAGTGACTTCATGGATTTGTTCCACGTTTCGGTCTGGCCACCCCTAGCTTTTTAACAACCTACTCCTACACCATAAAACATCGCTCATCGGGGCAGTCGGTGGTTGGGCATACGTAGAACATGTCCCAGCCATCTCAACTGATGAAGTTTTACTACTTCATCAAATGATTTGCCATCCTTACCTAGTACTCGTTTCGTAACAACTGCATTACTTACTCGGTGGTCCCAGGATATACGAGCAATGCTTCGAAGACACCTATGATCGAAAACTAGTAACCTACGAATATCCCCTACTCTTACCGGCCATGTTTGCTGCCATAAAGAAGGACGGAACGAACGGCTGCGCAGAAAACCCGTCCTTTGTTTGGTAGACGGATATCTCGCTTACTCCATAAATGATGCAAATTGGCAAAAGCTAGTCGAGCCTTCTGTATCTGTGCTGAAATTTCGTCACACACCAGACCACAAGGGCTGAGGAGGCTCTCACGATAAGTGAAGCAGTCGTCACGCCCAACTACTTTACTCCCTATCATTAGTACTAGTGTCGATGCAACCCAATCCTGAAGCAACATTTTGCATTTTGAGGGAGAGAATCGCGTCCCGGACATGCTTGCATTGTTGCTTATAGTGGTCAGAAGACTGCATTTTGTCAGCGTTTTCACCAAATAGAACTATGTCATCGTCATATTCTGAGTCAACAAGTGGATCTCCCGGTAGAAGTTCAACTGGAAATTTAGATGAGGAAATTTTCATCTCTAAAAGCACGTCAATGACATAGTTAAACAAGAATGGAGAGAGTGGACAACCCTGACGGACACCACTTGAAGTAATCGGTTCAGATGACAGTTTGCCACAAGCTCTCACTCGACCTGTTGTGTTCGAGTAGAGAGCCTTTACAAGGTTAATGTACTTCTTTGGTACTCCTTTCAGTGACAAACACTGCCATATAACCTCACGATCAACCGAGTCAAATGCCGCCTTAAGGTCAAGAAATGCTACCATTGTGAGGCGTCTGTATGTGAGTCTCTGTTCTAGAACCTGACGTAGTGTGAATATCTGATCTATACAACCACGTCCAGATCGGAAACCAGCCTGGTTTTTTCTAGTCTGCTCTTCGCGAGCTTTAGTTAAGTGTCGAAGAGTTACTGATGCTAATATTTTAGATACTATTTTAGTCGAACTGATTGTCACAAGAGGACTTTTGTCCTTTCTTATGGACTGGTACAATCATTGATTGAGACCAGTCAGATGGGATTACGTCCGGTTCACAGATTCTACCTAAGACCTCAGTCAATGTCGCGGCTAATACTGGACCACCATCCTTAAAAATCTCAGGTGTAAACCCGTCAGGTCCTGCTGCTCACCCACGTTTCAGATTTCCTATAGCTTTTTCAACTTCGTAAACAGTCGAAGGACTTATATTAAATTGCCATTCAGGTCGACTGGAGATCGTGGAAAACTGAAGTGTGGCTCGAGACTAGTTTTTCAGCATCCATCAGTGCAAATGGACGGGAAAAGTAGGTATGACTTTTATTCTTGATTCCACTCAACCACCTAGTATAATGTACTCAATAATGAGTCACTTGCTTAGTAGCCTCACTGGGATTTGGTCAATAGTATATGATCACATAGAAAGGGAAGAGATAACAAGAAATGAACATTCAGGGTCATACATGAGGGATATTTCGCTGTCTTTTTAAAAAGAACAGTTTTAACAGTGTATCACTTAATGGTCTAAACTGTTTGGTCAGAGAAATAAGTGATCAACAGATAGATTTATACTGATAATAAAAGTTCATTCAAAGACTAAATTATGCGATAAAATGATTAGTCATATAGTATAATAAACTATAACTGTTGTCTATCACATCAACATAGAGTTTAAGACAAAAATAATAACTGTTCAAGTCTATTAAAGTACTTTTACACCCTCATACAAAATAGAATTTGTTTATTCTGCATAGTGGATGAGTATTATTATTCAACGATTACATTATTATTGAAATGACTTTGATTACACCATCTGATGTATACGATATGAATCACATGACTACCCCAACCAACCTAAAATAAAATGATTACTTCTGAAAACTATGTTAGACTTTGGTTTCACTCTCAGCTAAGTCGCATACGCCTGAGTTAGACACTTACTGTTACCATACGACTCATCTGTATTGTGAATTTAGGTGTCAATTTTGAAATACATTGAAAAACATTATTAAGAGAAATAAAAATTGAAAGCTACCTGCCACCAGGCCATTTCAGAGTGTCGATTACCAGGTATTTCAACACCAGCAATCCGTAAAGCTAAATGCAGTACGGCTGCAGCGATATGCTCTGGGGCGAAATCTAAACACATAGCTGACTGATAAGAATCCGCCAGTATTGACCAAGCCAAACCGGGAAGTCGTGCTAATGCAATTGCAGAAGCATTTACTGAATTTCCACCAGCGTTCAAATCGGACCCGCAAGGTTGTGCTATACCTTTACCAACCCAATGGAGTAATGAATGAAGATAATGAACTAGATATGGATGTGGTAGAGAGGGACGACGAACGTGATAAGCTAACAATCGCATCAGAAATAATTCTGTTTGTACAAGACTTTCCCGTAAACGATCATAATCATCACCGACTTCCAGAGGACTACGACGGTTTTTGTGAAGTGTCCTGAAAAAGAAAAATATTGGTGTGATAAGGCGTAAATGCTAAAAATCCATTGGACAATTACCAGCAGATGAATTTAAAAAGATACCGGAGCCCATGTGTCCCGCTTACAAGCACTGGGTTTCTTCTGGCTCCTTACAAATAATTGAAGCCCGTCGATCTACTCCGAGTGACCGTGAGTTTGACCACAAATGACGACTGTTAAGTAATGAAATTGGGCAAAGCTTGTGTATGTACCGAGAAGCCTGGTAGTCAGAACGTGCCAATGAGTTGGAGGCAGCAGGTGCATCTAGTAACTGCCGGAAACTATTTCAACTCATCCGAGCCATGGGCAGCAAGAAATCTGGTGTGAGCGAAACAATCTGTGGAGATGACGTGATGCCAATCACTAACATCAAACGATGTTTCAGACGTTGGGTAGTTCTTCGAAGAGCAGTTCAACTGATCCCTTCCCTCCACAACCTTTGACGACTGATCCACCAAATAAGGTGGAAGTCATCAAGTAACTTCAAATCATGAAACGCCACAAATCACCGGGTCCAGATGACTTACCTCTGGTCCTATTTAAAGATGATGGCGGCCTTCTGACTGCGTTATTTACTAAGGTTTGGGAGTTACAGAGTCTTCCAACATCATAGAATGATTCGATAGTCGTCCTTATCTTTAAAAAGGGTACACGTCACCTACGCAAGAACTACCAATTGGAAGAATTCTCTGTCACTGTACTTTTGCTTAACGAACTGTCTCTACCATTATTATCATTTCACTAACATACACTAATTTTTGTTCATCGTTGTACTTCTTTTTTTCGCATACGCATCTTAAAGTCTCTTTCTCTTCATATTCTCATTATTATTTTGTGGCGCCTATATATCTGGTGCCCCTTTGTACCAATATTTGTGCTCAAATAAATAAATAAATAAAATGAGCTTAAAACACTTAATAAATCTACAATGGTTGTTTTTATGAAGTGATTCTACTCAAAATACCACTTGGAACTTCACGTTGCTCAATTACAACGTGTTCCCAAAAAGCATGTAAAAAAACTTCAACAGACATATTTAAGTAAAGTGAGATTTGTGGAAATCATAGAATTTTAAAAATCTAAATCATAAACTAAGTTTACTGAAACCACCAGTGGAAGCATGGAAGCACATGATGGTCGTTTTCTTCAAGTAGGGGACTTCTTAGCAATAACAAGCTTCAAAAAGCAACTCTTGAAGTTCAAGTGAGAAGCGTAAAAGGTGGAGTTTAATCATGTTAGGCGTGAAACAGTTATAAATCACAGGTAATGGATGATAGCCGAGTAACATCGTGAATTGAATGAAGCTAATTACTAAAACCGTTGGATGCCAGCTCAGTGATCAAGTGCGAAACCGAATGTAATGAGTTAAATTACTGGATGCAGGATCACGGATGAGCACTGTCGAGGAGTCCCGTACTAGGACAGCTATCCACTGCTTTCAGGTTTCTAATGGTGGTCCAACGAAGATCAGTTTGTGATTTAAACTATGAAGATATATTTTAGATTAAAAATTTTTACCTGTACCTGTAATAAGAAACAATCACATCACGCAGCCGTTGATGTTCTTCTTGTACTTTACCGCCAAGACTGATAGATGCCATCGCGATAGTCTGAATAATGTAAAACAAGGAAAATAAAACCTAAAAATATGAGTGAATATTCATATTGAAACGAAAAACAGTAGTTATTCGTTTAAAGGGAATTTAGTTGAATTGAACAAAACCCGATTACTGAATGCTGATAGATACGACAAGTCTGTTTTTGGTATAATTACTAAATAAACACCTATTAGTGAGAATGAACCAAACGTACGAGGATAAGAGAAATTTATGCATGTATGTTGATACAAAATTGGACAGTGTCATTATGTTTCTTTGGTTCAATAACACTTATTTCTATAACTGATACTTGTTACACGAATATGTGCTTACGAGCACTTTATCGAGTACTGTTTCAAACGACAAGTGCATTCGTTATTAAATGTACGGTTATTTGAAGAGTAGACTAATTTCATCATTTTTAAGGTCAATAATTTGTTTATAAGTCATCAAACAAAACTGATACAAGAGAACACACAGAACCAGGAGTTAGTTTTTTATAATTAGATAACAAGACACCTGTTTTACACAATTTTTATGGAAAAAATTGAGTAGGAAAAAGAATGAACACATCAGAAAATTAAATCATAGAAGTTAGTAATTTTAGTTAGTTAGTGGACAATAAAAAGGAAAAATGAATTAGTTCATTCATGTACTAAATAACTGGTTTAGTAATATATGATAGTTTTATTGACATATTTTCAGAGTAAAATAAGAACCTTACATGTGCATCGATATCTCCTAAGCTATGTTTAAAAGATTGGTCGATCGAGTCGAAACCAGAAACTGAATCAGATCCATTGACAGTCGCTGATCCAGAAGTAGCGAGTGTTGTAACTGGCTGCTCATCACCAGTAGTGAGAACACGTAGAGCTCGGTGTAATATTGTGCAAGCTGTAGCGATGGCGTAATCACTCATTGCTAAACGCCGACCAGCCTCCCGAACAGTTAAAATCAAAGAAAACAAAGCCGCATCTGAAAGAGGAGGTCTAGGTGGTAGACCAGCAAGCTGACTGTTTGGATTACGAATGGCTGAAATAGATGCTGGGGCCTCACGAGTAGACATGTTTGAAATATCCTAAAACTGAAGAAATTATGTCTATTAAAATATTAAATATAAACCACTTTGCCATACTGTTAGCAAAAAGACAAACATATCAAATATATATGTGAAATACATAGGACACGTTATCTACTTCCACAGTAATATGCTTAGTTGCATGGAAATACTGGAGTTGATGTAAAAAGCGAACAACCTAAAACAGCAGTTATGATTATTTATATCTCTCTTCACATCGAATACACACATATATCAGATTTATCAACTGCATACGAAAACATAAACGGTGTACAAATCATACAGTTAAAACAGAATATCTTTTACCATATATTACTACCAATCTAAATAAATTCTTCACGTTCTTCACTAACGGCACAAAGATATATTAAACTCACAATCGTAACTCATCAAAAAACCAAACTATCAGTCCAGGTTAGAAAGCACAAATAGACACCAACTAGCATACAAAAAACAAAAGCCAAAATAGATTTATTTCGTAATTTATATTATTTAAAATTAAAAATATTAAAACATATATTTTCATAAAAAAGAAAGTAGTTATAAGATAGTTTTTCACAGTATCAACAACTTTAAGTAATCTAAGAGGAAACTCAAAAACTAGATTGAACCAAAATATAAATAAATAACAAAATGCGCAGATAATATTGCTATCCTAGAAATGTGAGAATTTATAACTAGAAATCCTTGACACTGTTGACAATATACCTATGCCAGAGATCAAAACAATACACACAAATATGAATAATTCACAGCGACTCGACTACCGATGGTATACATGATATCAGGAGATAATTATACCGTATTAGGACGAAAAACAAGCCCGATAGCAGTAAATTGAACAAACTTATTAGTCACTTAGTTTGATCAGGATCATTTGAAAAATGAATTGCTGATTTCACTTGAAGACTAGATGATTAGTTTTTGTCTAGGATAATATTAAGCACACAAAGCAATTTGTAAATTTCAATAACACTTCATAATAACCAAGGTTAATTATTACAAAGTAAAATACAACAGAAAAAAATAATAGAGAACATAATATAACCAGAACAAGTTAAATGCTGATTATATATATATATATATATATATATTCAAGATAAGCGCGCATATAGGTATAACGGAAGTGAAACAAGTAATCTAATAAACAAAGTAACAACATTGAACAAATAAAAAATATAAAACCATTTTTTAGAAAAAGGGATCCTCATTTACAATTACAAACATATTTTAACGGAGTAGCTGTGAATTAATTTTACGGCGCTTATATTTACGTACGATACGTAAATCATAGGGTGGGATATTCCATTTGATTCCCAGTAAAACATTTTCTACTGTTATTATTATGATTGTTAATAGATTGGAATGAAAGAAATTCAACAGATTGGTGTTTTGATAGTAAACCATACACTGCATGTCCACGACGATTTGAAAAATGATTTGATAAAAGTGGTTCCTCTTGATGATATGGATCCGTAAATATGCTGGTTCTATTACTAATACTGTTGCATAGATGTTGATTGGTGTGTTGTAAAAATGAATTATTATAGTTACTGTGATTACAAAAAGAATGATTTCGACTAATGGTAGTAGTTTCATTAAGCAAAAGTGAATCGTTATTATTTCGAGTAGGACGTTGACATTTCGGATCAGTTAATCGACGACGACCAGAAAATAAGTTACCTAATATTCGCCTAGGAGATGTATGTTGTTCACCGGTTGATACTTTGTTGGAATTATCTCGTCCTTCTAGCATATAATATAATGTTGCATAACGTGAACCTATTGAATTCGATTGCCAAGAAGGTGACAATTCATTCTTTAAATAATACTGCAGAAGAGTATACACGAATTCCAAATCCCACTAAATATTTCATATATAAAAAAATAAAGTATATTATCAACATAAAAGCAATTGAATTGATACCCCTGGAGACAGAAATATAACTAAATCTATTCTTATAAACCTATAAACAAAAAGAATTGTGTATAACTTAGTCAGATAAACCGGCTCGTCTTTAAATAACATCCGGAAACCACTTGGTATTCTTTAATTTGTCACGTTAAAATATACCTCAGAACACTATCCGGCTTGGCTTTTAAGAGGAGAACGTAAGACAATCACTAGTTCCATACAGGAGCATTTAATCAATTTTGGACACACCGCTCCCAAGTATTCTTCTTTTAAAGTGATCTACAGAGTCAAAGGAATTGGATTGAAGGGGTGTCGAATCAATATATTATGCACTGCTGAGGCACTGGCAATTCACGAACTCAAGCCCGAACTTTGCGTGCAGAAACGATTTGTCCAACCTCTCATCCTTCCTTGGCCCTAATTCCCTTAATAGGTATATTTCGAATTTCTTAAAATTACTATTTTGCATTTTAAACTCTAATCAGTTATTATTATAATTATCATTATTATTATTACTATTATTCAGTCTATTATTATGACCTTTGTGTTGGTCGCTTTTCTTCATATTTGTCAATTGGACTATTATCTGACCAAAATACGATTTTCTTCCTTACCCCTTGATTAGTACGTAACCCCATTTGTTATTTTCCTCGAAAACCTTTTGGTGATGCAAATTTTTTCTATCCTCTAATAGACATAAATTTTCCATATAACTATATATACGAATGTACAGCTTAAGTAAATGATTTCGCAGAAAAGAAAATTTTCTTCGCTGAATTCTCTTTTTCTTATTCAATATACCTTTTCATTAACATCCCGATATTTTGTATTTTGTTTTACTTATAAAGACATGGAAACATATTTTTGAACAAAGGTTATCAGTCTGGACAAAATTTTCTATCATCAATAAATCGTATACATAATATTCGATCATAAATGACCTGAGGAATTACGAAAATAGCAGCAACTTGTCTGCTTATTGTTTAGGAATCTCAGAAACAACATGCATTTCTCGCTTGTATTGTCAAGCTGTATCAACATCTGGACGGATAACTCATTTCTACGTTTTAATTAACCTTTAGGAAATATAAACAAACCACTAGGAATAATATACTATTTATCTTCATTTAAGGTGTACTACAATATAATAAGCGACAAGTAGAAAGTTAACAATTGAACAGTGAAAATCAAACGTTGAGGAACAATAATAATAAATACTTACATAACCCCTAAATAAATGAGGTCGTTGTAGGCACAACATTTTGAAAACAAAGTATACATCGATTAGAAGATCACTTAAAAATTGGCTAATTAAAATACGAATTGCACAAAATATGCCAACACGATAACCTCCAGTGCTGAAACAAAAAAGTGGAATATTTGCAGTATTAAATAGACGGTGAGAATAAAAAAATTAACTATATGATGATTAGGAGTTATAATAGCCATAAATATAACATCTTTAGCATCATGTGCATACAAAAGAATATTAAGACTTGTCCTGCTTATTTGTTTTGTAATTTTTTTTACAGACTGAAAATATTCAGAAAGCCATGTCATTATATAAGAGCACCATATCAGTTGGATAAGCTATTTAACGCTCAAAAAATGTGCTTAGAACTTGAAACAGTCAAATTATATTTATTCGTACAATTCAATAACAAGATTGAAGAGAGACTAACATGACCGAATTTCTACATAGTTGCATATTACAATTATTATTATCAATCATTCGGACTAACAATAATTAGAACTTATTAAAATGAAAACATCTTTGTAATGAAATTACTGGGGGGGGGGGTATTTCATCTAAATTCTATGACTAAATGAATAGTCACGTAAAACATGTGAAAAATGTTTCAGTGTTTTTTTCAGAATAATAAACAACTTTACAGACTTTTTATACGTCAGTCAGTCAGCTGCAACGTAGGACCAGGCACATATATGCATCGGTCCAAGTTGCCATACCGCATTAGCACAACAAGATCAACACCGGATTCATAGGAGTCAAATCAAAGGTAGTAGTATATAAAAGAAAGATTGTGTATAAGGATATAACACAGGAAGAAAGAATTAGATCGTAGAAAGAAAGACATGAAGCGATTTACATGTCTTAGTTTAAGGGAAGACAGAGAGTGTATACACATACGCCATTGTGATCGATTCTGAGCCATGTCACCAAGAGTCTCCAACCATTGGTTACGATAGTCACGCGGACTCCAACCAGGCAGTCTGAATCTTCCAACATGGCTCAGACCAGAAGTTAGTGACTTCAAGCACTGATGCCACGTTTTGGTTTGGCCGCCCCTAACTTTATTCCAATCATTCCTAACACCGGTTAGCATTGCGCGCCGTGGTAATCGGTGTTCAGGCATACGCAACACGTGGCCCAACCATCTCAGTCGATGAAGATTCATAACTTCACCAACTGATTTACCATCATTCCCTAGTACCCTGCGTATAACCTCACTATTACTTACCCGGTGATCCCAGCAGATATCCGCAATATTTCTAAGGCACCTGTGGTCAAATACTAGTAACTTACGATTATCTTCTACTCTTAAAGGCCATGTTTCGCAGCCGTATAGTAGAACGGAACGAACTGCCGCGCAGTATACTCGTCCCTTAATTGATAGACGGATATCTCGCCTGCGCCATAGATGACGTAGGTTGGCAAAGGCCAAGCGAGCTTTTCGAATCCGTGCTGAGATTTCGTCAGACACCAACCCATCAGGTCTGATCAGACTTCCAAGATAAGTGAAGTTGTCGACGCGTTCGACTACTTCACTCCCTATCCTTAGTTCAGGTGTTGATGCAGACCAGTCCTGAAGCAACAACTTGCATTAAGAGGGAGAAAAACGCATCCCAAACATTCTAGCATTGTTGCTCAGTGTTACCAAAAGACTCTGCATTTCATCAGCGTCTTCACCAAACAGGACTATGTCATCTGCGTATTCTAAGTCAATAAGTGGACCTCCTGGTAGGAGATCAATACCCGAGAATTCAGTCGATGAGAGCGTTATTTCTATCAGGATGTCTATGATAAAGTTAAACAAAAAAGGAGAAAGTGGAC